TTAGAAATGACTTTGGATTGCTGTTAAATGTCCAAAATGGCATTAAAACACTTATATAGAAAACCCAATTCCAAATATTGCAATTGTAGATTGGAATTTCACCCATATTTACTATGTGATTTTAAGGTAGTTGTTTAAAGTAATTGAAGCTCAATTTCTGAAACTTACAGTGGAGTTCTGTATTTGCTTTGTTTTTTAAGTGTAAAGATTACTAATAAAAGAAAGATAGTTGTCAACACAGATATGGACATTTCAAAATGCTTGAGAATTGCACACCTATACTTTTACAAATGTTTATATAATCAGGAGGTATAAAAATCTGACAAAAGCTGCTTTTTCTCCACTTAATCAGTAAAGGATTTCTTCCAGACCAACCAAAGAGAGCTTTAATTTTTGAGATGGCCAAGTGTGTTAACATCAAATTGCCCTTCACTTAGTACAGTGTGTTTTATTTATAGTCCTATTGACTACAAAGGATTGCAAAGCAGCTACATAGATAACACATGCATTTTAAACTCAATTTATGCAATACTCCATGAACAGCTGAACAAACAAATGAGACTTTAATTTTCTTTCAAATATAAGACAAAATTGATGCTTTCCAAAACCTAGTCTATTAACTCATTCTAAAGAAGGGTCTATGAGCTTAGCATCCAGTTAACTATGTCAGAATTTCCTAGGATCAGCAGGTTGAAAAGCTTTGCAAGTGTGAAAGTTTAATAAGGATTAGATTAAAATATCTAGGAGGAAATGGTAAATTGGAGTCATAGAAAATCTTGAAATGTTGCTAAGTTTGTAATTTCACTTTTACTTGAACACCAATTAAATTTGCAGTTGAAACCAGTTTCATGAAAAAAAAAATGCCTGTAAAGCTACATCATCTGTTTAAATGTAAATTACAGTCACCATAAACTTTCTTAGAAAATATCCAGCGTTTTCAAATAGATGTCATCTTAATATAGTTTCTATTAAAACTCTTCCACCTGTAGCATGTCTTATTTCAAAGCATTATTAATTTCCTAATTAAAAAATGTCTATTTAGAGAATTCCAGAATCTTAATTTAGGAATGTTGAAATCATAAAGCAGCACAATGGAATCTTATGTTTATTAATGTCTATTTATGTTACACAACTGATGTATGAAATAATTTGCTTTTATATGCCTCATATTTTTATCATATGTATCATATATCATATATCTTCATGTTTGACATTTAGTATGAACTATATCAATTAGTTCATTTTTAACACTCAGACATAGCTAATTTTTACTGTAATTAGCACTGTTTTTTATTTCTTTGTCTGAGTTTCTTTCACAATAAAATGTATTCATGAAAGTGTACTTGAAGTTGGTTGCTTACTTACATAACCACAAAACCAGTTCTTACAGGAAACTGGTGGAATTGAAGCACAGTGGAAATAATTTTCTAATTTTTCCCAATTTTCTGCTTTGGTTGACTGATTCCAATATTTTACAAACCTTGCAATAATCTTTAGCTTTGTCTTTTAAAGCTCAAAATCTGTGGCTAATTTTCCCCTTGATTTTTACATTTGAGTCTATAAGATTCTAAAGATCATGTCTCTAAGAGAAAATTAGTCTATGGTATACATCCCTTTCTTCATAGTTTCCTTTATGGCTGATAATAATTCTCATAGGAAAAAAATATGTTTCTGTTTAATAGCTTTTAGTTAAGTTATGAACTAGGAAATTTTGGATTATTCCATTTTATTAACTTATATCCAAAATCATTTATCTCACTATTTCTAGGGGAAACTGTCTTAAATTTAATAAGCAAAGTATTTTTCAGTTTTGACTTAAAAATGTGAAATAGAAATTTTTAATTGTCTAATATATAATGGCTAGCATCTTGATGTCAGTCGTGTTTTGACGGTGGTCACGTGAGGGAAGATTTTTGGGGGGTCATGTTTGATGTGTGTTAATGTTCTTACCCCCAAAAGTGGGTGTCCCATGAGCCTTTGGCCAAGGGTGGAGGCCTGCTAAAGGGGTGTGGCTTTAAAATCCCTGAGTGAGGGGATGGGTCTTTAAATGGCATAACAGTCGTTTGCCTATTCGCTATACTGAGCAATGTGGAGCTGCTGTGATGCTGAACACGGTTCAATATAGTCTTGTCAAATACCATAAAGGTTACTCATTATGTATAGTGTTTGAATGAGCTTCCAGGTTGATTCATGCTGGGAAGAAGGAGTGGCATCCAATTCCTAAATTAAATACCTCTGGAAACTCCACAAAAACTCTCTAAACACTATAAATGTACATAATTTATATTAGTTGTAGAACAGAGTTCAGGTCTTTTGTGCAAAGTTTACTCTGAGTCGTATTCGAGTTGATGCCACTTAACCACTGCTAAATGAGACTAGGGCTGTTATATCTGGAGAAAAACTCTCCCCTTTGTACATCACTCTTTGTCAATGTTCTATATGAAGTAACCTCAGTTTGCAGTGATGCTGAACCTTGTGCTGTTGGCATATCAATTACCACCATAATGGTTTCCCAGTGTGGACAGTGTTTGGTGGAGCTCCCAGGTGTAAAACAGGTTTAGAAGGAGGAGTGGCATCTGCTTCCTAAAATCACATGCCTCTGGAAACTCTATGAACTTGGAGAAATGATGATAGTTATGGAAAGGCATTAGGCCTTTTGTTTATAGAGTTGCTTTGAGTTGTGTTCAACTCAATGACAATCAATAACAACAATATTTTTTGGCAGGAGAAGGATGAGCAATCTCCTCTACTGCAATTTACAGCCTTTGAAAATATATTGGAGGGTCAGCTATGAGTCAGTTCTACTCAATGGCACACAAAAGCAACAACAGTATATTTTGCTGGGTCAAATATTTCTATTTCCAGCTTTTTGGGAAAGCGCCATACAGCCTTCCACGGTGGTTGTACCATTTTACACTCCCACCAACAGTGAATAAGGGTTCCAGTTTTTCCACAACCTTGCCAACATTTGATCTTTGCTGTACTGTTAAATTTTACTGTTCTCACTGGGGTGAGATGATATCTCATAGTTGTTTTTATATGCATCTCTCTTAGAGCTAGGGATTTTGAACATTTATTCATGTGTTTGTTAGCCTTGTGAATGTCTTCTTTGGTGAAGTGTCTGTTCATATCCTGTGCCTATTTTTCATTTGGGTTATTTACCTTTATCTTGTTGTGGTGCTCGAGTATTTTATAAATTCTAGAAATAAGTCCCTAAGAATTTACCCTAAAGGAACCATAACTGCCACCCAAGCAGATATACGCACACCCATGTTTAGTGCAGCTTTGTTCCCAATAGCAAAGAGCTGGAAACAACCCAAGTGCCCATCAACAAATGAATGCATAGAGACGCTCTGGTATATTAACACAATAGAATACTATGCAGCATTGAAAAACAAGGAACTCATGAAATATTATGCGAAAGGAATGACCCTGGAGGACATTATGTTGAGTGAAATATCTCAGTCACAAAAGGACAAATATTGCATAAGGCCACTGTTGTAAAATGGAACTGACATCAGGGTTGAGGGAAGACAGAAAAGGAGGGGAGGAATGATGTATATTGCATTGAAACAGATGAAGGAGAGAATGAGACAAAGAGAGTCTTGAAGAAACCCGATACACCAAGCACAGGGTAAAGTGCATTATATTGACTAATTTAACTAACAGCTCTATTAGAAAGCATACTCATCCATGCTATTCAAGAGGTAAAAACTGAACAAAGCAGTTAAATACCTGACTTCTGGTTAGCTCTGTAACAATTCCAAAGAATCAGTTACATTTTCTTTAGGGCTCAGCTCAGTCACATACAGTATCAATGTTTTTTTAAATCATTCTATGCACCTAAATCTTCTGGTGTGGAATTAACTGCCTCTGAAAGCCTGCCAGAGTGTCAGCTATGAGTTGGTAAAAACAAAACAAAACAATACAAAACAAAACAAAAAAACCAATAAGACTTTTCTTCATCAATCCCATCTTCAATCCACTTAGAATCTCTTTCTAACCCTTCCATTTGGTGAAGTATAGTTTGGTGAGAGTAATTTTAATGAAAGATGAGGTAATGCATTCAAGTGCATAACCAGTAAATAGTCTATATTACTCAAAGAATTCTTAAAGAAGTGAATTGGTGATTATGACTTTTCTGGTTATTACTTCTCCTTATCAGCCTTTTGATAAGAACTGGAAAATTTCATTCTCTAAGACGTTTGGGTTAAGTCTTAGCATATTAAACAGATTATTAAATAATAGTAAAATCTCACAAGCTAGTTTGACATAACTCTCACAGCACTTGACACCTGAGAATTGGCCTAGTGATGTCAGTACCTTTGCCCATGGTATTGTTAGGAGTCAGTCTTGCACTCTCAGACCATGATGTTCTCTAGTTGAACATAAAAATATTCACAGAACATTAAATCAGACAAGGTCACCAAGATCACTGTAAATCAAGTCATTTCTGTACTCAGATAAAAACATGAGTATTACCCAAACCACAAAACTGGCTAACTAGCCCTCTATTTTGCCCCATATAAATGATTGCTGCTTCTTTACCAGTCATAGCTTGAGCCTCACTCTGTTACACTTTTCTGTTAAGTAAGATTTATTAAGTTACCTAATCATAGAATTACCCCTGCTCTTTGATTCTGTTCAATCCACAGTAAAGCTCAGCTTCTTCATATCATCCCCCAAGTCATCTAATACAAACACAAAGCACTGATTCCTTTCTATACCTCCTCACTAAGTGGTGATGATGACCACTTTTGTCTATATTCTCCTGACTGCATGGTAAACTCAAATGGTCAACTGCATGTGTGTCCCTGGTGATCTTTCACGGGAGGGGAACATTGTCATCATGTCTGCTTCATTTGACACACCTCTACGGAGTCTGTCTCATGTGCCTATTTCCGTCTTCTAAAGTTATCTCTCTGAAAAAGAATGTGTTTTAAGTTCATTAATAACTGGTTTTTCTTATTGAAAAAAATTTGACTTGTTTTTTCTTTTAGGAACCAACAGCTATTTCAGCAATGGTGCTTTCTACAAAGCAGGTACCCTCATTATGTTTTACCATCTATATTCTGTTAATTTTGTATTTCAAATATTATGCTCTTTAGATCTAGTTTTTATCCATCAAGTTTTAAAATTTATCAGGAAGTCTTCATAAAATAGACCAGAAGAGAAGAAATGATAAAAACTTTTATAATAAACTAATACCATTAAAACTAAAAATGATTTTCATTGCCCCCATGGCAAACCATTATAGCATATGGTTTGAATAATCTCAATATGAAACATATTTATGAACAAATTTCCTGGGCCACTATTTATTATAAATTTTTATTTGTAGACTTTATATTATGTCCACTGAAAGTAATTTACCCAATTGATTTCATCTCTTCTGATTCTGTATTTTCTTTCTTTCTCTCTCCCTCCCTTTTTCTCTCCCTGTCTCCACACATACATACATGCATATACACATACCTATAATAAATAACAAAAAATATCTGTGGACATTTCAGACGACAAATATGTCATTTATTTTTTAATTCAATATTTAAAAGCCACATCTCACAAGTTGAGATATATGCTGTATTATATATATTTGAATATATTCAATGTTAATTTACTTTTTTATTTATACTTTCTACTATGGGGGGTGGAATAGACTTTAGTTTGGCTAAATTTAAAAAAGATGATTGCACAGTGTTCACTGCCAAGTGATAACGGTAAGTTCTAAAACTCTGGGAGTTTATAAGTTATAGGTATGTGTAGTAGACTAATAGCCCTTCCATTTATACCTAGTGAATGCTTTGGCAAAACACTTAAATGAAGCAATGTTATATGTGAAGAATAAAAAACAGCTTTTACTTCTAATGAATTATATTTTTCTCCATACCAATTTCATAAAATAAACCTGTAAAAGTTTAAAAATTAAAGCTTACCTTGATGTTAAATTTGTTGCTCTTGGATGCAATTCAGTCGATTCCAACCCATCACAAACTTATCCAACCACAAGACACTACCCTCATGATTATTGCTATGTTTGAGCCCATATTACAATCAGTGGGCCAGTTTATTTGGCTAAGACCTTTCAAGTTTTTGCTAGACTTCTATAATCAGGTATTTTTCCTTAAAGGATGGATTAGAGTGAGTGAAATAAATATAATCATCTTATTGATTACTCTGAATTGTTTATCTCTGACCATGTTTTACTTGCCAGACAAAAAGTCTCCAAAATATGGTGCCAATAAACAAAGTTTAATGTTTGTTCTTTTCATACAGATATATCCAAATATTTGCTAATTCATAATATTTACAAAAACTCAAACTCAGATATTATTGACCTTGTACTATTACCTTGCCGCTCATAAATATGTATTCATCTGTTCTTATAATCCAAAAATTGTCAAGTGTTGGCAGGGCTATCTGGTGGTTTTCAGAATGGAAAATAGACTGGGATAGTCTTTCCCTAATTATATTTTAAAATATGTATTTATGCCTTGTTAAGTTTCATTGGGTTGATGTTGTATACTGCAGATTCAGAACCCAGCCATAGCTGACCCTCTGGCGGGTTTTCAGAGGCAGTTAATTACATAGGAGGAGATTGCCCATTAATATCAACCATAATTACATTACTTCCATAGCTAGTATATTAAAACATTCCTTTCTATCATAAATTTACTCAAGCTATCTTTAAAATTGCCTATGAAATACAATATATTTTACCACCAGCAAGAATAGTGAGTGAATTTAAAATACTATTAAATTTACAGAAGAAAATGTCGACAGCCTCTATTTTTCAGTCCTAAGATTGCATTTGATTGAGATATGATTCAATTCCAGGTGTGCCTATGGGCATTTTCAATATGAGATGGTAGTCTCAAGTAAGACAAGTCATGTTGCAACTAATTTTCTGGATAGATGGACTCATTTCCTGCTTCAGGCCCATGATTATTGGGGAGGATAGTGAGAAAGCCTGTGGTGATGTTAAATTGGGCAGAAAGAGCACATCAGGTTACTTGTTAGTGACTGGATTAAGCTCAGTGGTGGCTGCAAACCTCCCCTATATTTCATTTGGATAACATAATTATTTTTACACATCATTAATATAGCTTCAGAATATTATAAACTGAAAACTAGATGTGCAGTTGTATATAATTTCCCCCCACAGACTTGAGATTTCATTGTGATGCTTTCAGTAGCCATAATTTGGTTTTCTAATCCTCCGTATGCTCTCTGCTTTGCATCTTTCTTTCATAAAAGGATATCACAGTTTTAGATAATAACAGCTCCTTTAAAATAGCATAGTCTTAAGAAAACCCTCTAAATACAAACTTTGCTTATACTTCTTCAAATATTTGACCAAGCACATACATCTTTAGATTAAGTGTGACTAGTTGAATCAGAAGGAACTCTGATGACCTGGTGGGTAAGGAGTTATGTTACTAACTCAGAAGCAGGCAGTTTGAATGAACCAGTGTAAAAAAAGACTACATGGTAAGGCCATAGTTTACCAACTTCACAAAGGGAAACTTTCCATCAACAACACCAACAGCACAAAACCAATCCCATGACCCCTATGCTCTGTACCTTTTTCTACTCATCTCAGTGCCAATCACACTGCTTTATTGCATCTAAACTCTGATGTGATAGCTCACAGACCACACAGAATCATATTGAGGAAGTCAAAAGTTTATAATCCAGGTTGGTAGCAGATTACAGTCAGGTCAGCTTCTCAAATATGCTCACAGGCGTCTCAGCCTTGAGCCTCGTGGTTTTAGGCAGTTTTAAAAAGTTCTCATTCCTGTCAATTCTAGCTCTCCCCTCTCTAGTCCTCCAGCAAACTTGGGCAACATTCTCTTAGCTGGTTCCATGCACAGCGATCCCAAGTCCTCTCCATCTCATGTGAGGACTCTGGTTCTCTGCAGTGGCTTCTGTGGCTGTTGGTCCCAAAGGCCCTTGACTAGCTGGCACAGGAATCTCTGGTCCTGGAGGATGTATTGCATTTTTTTTCTCTTTTCTGGTAGTGAAATTTCTCCCATTCTACTTCTGGATCTGCTCTTTTTAATGGGAAGACTAGCCACTCCCCTTTGGAGTGGTGAGACTAGGCAATCCCCTGGTGCATAGGCTAACACACCCTGTTCTCATATTCCCACTCACCCACATGACAGAGTAAGTTGATGGATAGGAAAGCCAATGTGAACAATAAACCCCCAACACTGCAACCAGCTACTATGTGACAGAAAGTTGATCAGTCTTCTCCCAGGCAATCTGTAGTCTCAGAAAACCTGCTAGTCCGCTATGAGTCAATTCCAGTTTGTTGTTGTTGTTGTTGTCTTTAATGACTCCAATCACAATATACAGCCGGGCATGTACATATTCATGTCTGTCTGTGTTTAGTAATTCCAATTTTATTTAGGGGAACTCCAGTAGCCTATTGATAATGTGTTGCAATAACAACACAAATGCAAGTGGTTCACGTCCACCAACCGCTGCACAGAAAGAGAAGCCAGTTCATGCAAAGGAGAAAAGCTCTGACATAAGCACCAAATCATGTCCTTTCCCTTTTTATTCAAGGATATGATACATCACAGGGACAGTAATTAAGCACTCATGAGTCAAAGCAGAAGATTTCTGGCTCAAAGCCACTGGAATACCTAGCAATACACACATTCTAGTTAATCATTTATATGACAGACAGTAGAAGGAAAAAGCACGCTTTCCAAGAACAAAAACTGTGAATGTTTGAACATCACACTTCTGTGTAGTACTGTCTCTTTTCATTTTCTTTTGTTTATGCTATAAAAAGATGTGTCTTTTGATAATACATTTATAATTTTATCTTTCTTAATCTAAAAAAATGTCAAATTATCTGCCAAGCCTTTGAAAAATTCAATAATGTTAATAGTTTTTTTTGGTTTTTTTTTTAAAAAACCCATAAATATGTGTATGATAGGTTAGAAAAGAAACAAAATGTCTTTGAGAAAAAAAGGCATTTGAAAAACAGTTTCTGTTGTAACACTGGCCTATTTCCACAGCAACAACTATATATTGGCTCAGATACTGGCGTTGCCCAAATGCCCCTCCACCGCTGCGATGTTTACGGGAGGGCATGCGCGGAGTGCTGCCTCGCACGAGATCCGTACTGCGCCTGGGACGGTTCCGCGTGCTCTCGCTATTTTCCTAATACAAAGAGGTAAGAGAAACCCTGACCACCAGTAATCAGTGTTTGCAATATCCCTGACCTAATGTCACTTTTTTCAAATGTCTCTTTTTGCTGGTGCACAAACCACATAAAGAATATTTTCTCTGCTTTCCCCCCTTGAAAAGGCAAAACAATGAGGAAATGCTTAGTAGGAAAGTTGGCTTGTGAATGGAATGGGCCAAGGCATTTGAATACATTACAGAGAGAGATCTAATACAGCACAGTCACATCCCTCAGTGTTTATGCTCAGAAACTGCAAAGCATTACAAGGTCAGTTTACACGAGAGAAATCCAAGGACCAAGTCAAAGTTAAGAAGTGGGCCTCATCTCTACTCTGATAGATTCCTTGCATTCTTTCTTGCAGCATTCATTTAATACTGTTTTAACCTTGCATAAGGGAATATATGCTCCAAAATGAATGCTTGGAGAAAAGGATGTATTTACCTTTATAGTAGACAAACACGAACCACAAAACAATGTAAAGTATCTTTTATATATTCATACATATAAGTTTTAAGTTATTCTTAACAATACCTAAATAAGTCTATATATGTTTACATAAAAGTTACTAATATATACCTTGTTGTTGTTGTTGTTGGATGTCATTGACTTGACTACAACTCATAAGAGCCTATGAACAACAGGTTGGAACCCTGCCCGATCCTGCATCATCCTGACGATGACCAACACGCTACAGACTGTAGCCCAGCGCAGCTGTTACATGTCAGTCCCTCCTGCTGAGCATCTTACATCTCTTTCTCTGTCCCTCTGTCTTCTCTAACATGATTTCTTTTCCCGCAGATGGCATCTCATTACAATGGGCCCAAAGTATGTGAGATGAAATTTTACCATCTTTACCTCTCTGAAGAGCAACCTGATTGCTTTTTCTCTGAGACACACTTGTTCGTGCTTTTGGCAGTCCATGGGATAGTCAGTATTTCTCACCAATATCACAATTCAAGTGCATGGACTCTTTTGATATCCTTATTCATTCCTCAACTTCTAGATACATAGGGAGCAACTGAAAATGCCATGGCTTAAATGGATACTCTTGCCCTTTAGAACTTTGAAAAGGTCCATGACAGCCAATCTACCCAAAGCAACATGTCTTGGATGTTATCAACCATGAGATAAATTAGAACTGGAAGTTACTTAAACTTGACTGAATACACTGAGACTAGGTATTTTATCATTTAATACCATACCCAGTACAAAAAATACTTCTACTTAATAGTCCTTCTATAAGCTTCTGGATGTTGTTAGTGTGTACTGTTGAGTCGGAACTGACATATAGCTGACCCTCCAGTGAGTTTTCAGAAGCAGATAATCACACAGGAGAAGATTTCCCATTCTTCTCCCACAGAGCAGCTGATGGATTCGAACCACACACATGCCTTCAGGATTACAGTGCAGTGCTCCAAGCCTCTGGATATGTTTTAAAATTTGTATACCAATCTCTGGTAGACTTGTGTGTAGGACATTTCACAGATAATCCAAAGGCTTTGCTTCTTTGGTGGCTCAAATTCACGATCTACTCCATGGGAGGGAAAAGATGGGTAGTCTCTACTTCTGCTCTCTATTGTTGTTGTTGTGGTTGTGTGCCAACAAGACCCTTAGCCGACCCTCCAGTGGATTTTCAGAGCCCGTTTAATAGCGCGGGAGGAAGTTCCCCATCCTCCTGCAATGCAGCTGAAAGGTTCAAGCTCCTTGAATTCGAGATTGCTGCGCAGCCTCTTACCGCTGTTTTGTTGAGTACCATTGAGTTGGAACCAACACATAGCTGGGTAGGTTTTCAGAGGCATTTAATCGCATGGGAGGAGATTGCCCATTCTTTCACAGAGTCTGTGGTGGACTCAAACCACTCTCCTTTGGGATTGCAGTGCAGATTCTTGACCTAGGCCACCAGAGCTCTCTGGGTCATTTAAGAGTCTGGATTAGGAGTCTGGATTAAGTCTGGATTCAGACTTAAAAGTGGTGGGTTTGGGTTTGGATTTGAACAAACCTAGTTTATTTTGCTTTAAGAAAACACTCTCTTTGTTTGGCAAAAATAAAAACAAAAGGACAGTTAATTTTCTACTACTTACTACTTGCACCCATTTTTTTTTCTCCTTATTGCCACTTACCAAAGTTTAAGACTTGAACAATACTAATGCAATGACTTGTTAATGTCATTAGTTTAAAGACTAATGATATGCCTATGAGCCTATTCAAACATGAAAAAGAAAATAGTGTTGACGGGGTTTACTGGTCTAATTGGAATTTGACCTACTCTTCACCAAACTATCACTCTTAGTCACCCATTGAACCTGGAAATAAACTCTCACCTACATGATTCAATCTTCAGCCAAACAATAGATAAACCCATGAAGTGGTCAGTAACACCAAAGAGGAACTCAATTCTTAGAAAAATCAACCATACAAGATCAAAAGAGCAGTATTTACCCAGAGATAAACTAAGACAAATGGAAACAAGAATCACAGAAAGAAAATGAGAATGTTGTTACAGTTTGGGTGTTACAGATAAAATGTGTGTGTATGGTTCCATGGAAGACTAAATTTGATCTGTATACTTTCACTCAAATATTTTTTATAATTAAAGGAAACCATATTGAATGAAATAAGCACAACAGAAAAGGACAAATATTGTATGTTGCCACTTAAATTAAAAAACAATCAGAATTGATAAATGCACAGAAAGTTTATTGTTCTGTATTGGAAGGACAAGAAATGGAGAGATAATATTGAAGAATAAAATGTTTCTGTATAAGTTGATAAAAACAAATTCAAGCCATGGGTGGCAATACTTAAGGATACTTGGGTAAATGTTAAATGATCCAGGAAGTATCAAGAGAAGATGGAAGGAGTACACAGAGTCACTGCATAAGAAGGAATTAGCTGACACAGAAGAATTTCATGAAATGACATATGAGCAAGAGCCTATGGTGATGAAAAAGGAAGTTCAAATTGCTCTGAAGGAACTGACAAAAAACAAGGCTCTAGGAGTTGACGGCATACCAATTGACATATTTCAACAGACAGACAATGGTCTGGATGTGCTTACTAAGTTGTGCCAAGAAATCTGGAGAACAGCCAGCTGACCCACTGACTAGAAAAGATTGATGTTTGTTCTCATTCCAAAGAAAGGTGACCCAACAAAGTGCGGACATTATCGAACAATATCATTAATATCACATGCAGGCAAGATTCTGCTGAAAATTATCCAAAAATAT